TTTCTTTTTTTTTGTTTTCTCAAGTGTGTCGTTCCTAGGGAAGCGGAGCCCAGCCTTCGCGCAGCGACCGGGCCTTCCCTTGGCCGACCCCCCTAGGGCTGCGGCGCGTATACGGGAGTGTCCGCGGCCGATAGCTGAGCGAGGTACTGGTGGTTTAAGACCTAGTTATATCCTCGCACTAAGGAAGAAGGAATGGCATATGAGAAGTTTAGTAAGATAGTTGTAGATCATGCTGGCTTCCTCGAAGAGGCAAATTATTGCCACTATCGGAAGGACTTGAAGGCCAGCAAGAGATGGAAAAATAGGACCATATCCAGCAATATTGAGGGGAAGGATAATCTGCTGGTCACCTTCGAGGAAGGAGGTGTAGAGTCATTGCCATATGACCAAATAGACTATGGTATGGATGAGGTTAACAACAACCAAGTAGCACGGGGAGCGGACTATGTGGCAGTTGCAGCCCGTGGGGGAGGGCGACAAGGTAAAGGCCGATGTAGAGGAGGCCGAGATCAAGGACGAGGTGGAGGTCGAGGACCCGCTGCCCAGAGGGGTGGTGGCGAAGGTAGCTACTATGTGGGAGATAGGGGTTATGGTCCCTCGCAAGGTGGTATGGTTTCTGCTTTCATAGGGGGTAGAGGTAGAGGTAGGACTTGGCGGTTGTACCCAGAGCACCCGGGAATAGTTGAGGGCAAACCTTGGGTAGAGATGGGTATAGACGAAAAGGTATGAGATGATCGTCGCAAAGTCGGGCAATGTTTCAACTGTGGTGACCCTGACCACATTGTTCTCTTTTTGTCCCAAACATCGGTATCCAAAAGGGAACAGCAAGTAGAGGTTGCAGTTGCCTCTACGGGAACTTTGGACTTAGATAGGAAGATAGAAGTGTGTGCTGAAAAGGCACCCTCTTGTCCGAAGATCCCGATGGCAGAGATTGTTGTAGGCCCCCACCTAGCTAATTGTCCAGAAGTTGCTTGTGCTACGACCTCTCTTGGTGGTTCCCTCTCAAGCATTGGTGATGAGCTGATCACTCGTCGCCACACTTGGGCCGAGATGAAAAAAAGGTCGAAGGGACGGTTAATATTAGCCGACGTTGAAATTAGTAGAGAAAGGATAGGTGCGTTAGTCGACAGTGGGTCAACGCGGAGTTATATTATTAGGGAAGGGTTGCAAAAGATGCACCTAGCTATGAAAGTGAAGAAGCTTAATGAGTCGGTCATTTAGTAAATTGGCCGATAATAAAGAAATGATAGTATGTGAGTATGTTAAAGGGGTCAAGGCATACTACCAGTTGGAGGCAAGGGGTAAAGTGGAAAAAGTTTAGCACT